GGCAGGGTGGGGGCCTTGGCAGTTGACACAGCGGGCTGGAGTTGCAAGACAGCAATTCACCACTGGCTTGAGGTTACCCTGGCCGGGGCAGGTAGAGCTTTCGCATCGGTGGGCCGCCCGAGCATGGGCTTGCGCACAGATTGGACAGGTAGGAGAAGGCTGTTTGCAGAGAGGTTTAGAGTGGCCAAACTGGCAGCAGTTGCGGCATTGGGTGTCCCTAGCCGCCGGGTGGGCAGGGTGAACATTGCGGGGACGGTTGAAGAGGCGAATGCGATCGCCAAAAAGAGGGATATCAGAGGGCGAGACAGCTACCACCACCGAGGTAGTCAACTTTGTCGCGCGGAGGGTGGGGTCAGGCTGGAGGAAGCGGGCCTTAAAAATAGTAGCCCCAACCGCATACCCAATAGACTCCTGAAGCCGATCAAACAGATCTGCAGGGTCGCCTGGTAGCATTGAGACAGGAAGGTTGTGAATGAGGAGGTCGGTGTGGACTGGGGCAGTCCTGAATTCCAGGGGAGGGTTGTCCCCAATGGGAAAAAATTGGTTCAGCTTCGTCGTCAGGGCCGAGAAGTATGGAGCATAGGAGGAGGCAGGGGTATGAGGGTCCGCGGTCAGAGTGACCGCCCCATTTTGGTTTACCGTTGCCGCCAGAGACAGAGGATGAGCACATTTAGCCTCCCGAAGAACAGAAGCCATGGCGTCGGGGAGAGCAGCGGCCATGTGGACCGGGTCATCATGAGGGGCGGGGGTCAGGCGGGGGGCATAAAAGCGGCGATGGGCAGCCGGTAGCGGTGGAGGGGCCCTTGGGCCAACCTCCTTGCTAGCCGCCGCGACTTGGGCAGCCGTAGCACGCTTCGGTACCTTCCTTCCTGACTTGGCCACCTGGGCCCAGCTATTGGAGGCAGGAGTGGGGGCAGAGACTGCATATCCAGGCGGGGGGCCTGGGAGGAAATGCTTGTCGACAGGGAGGGGGAATCGATCCTTGGTCATAGCCGATTCAGACGTGTTCGGGAAGGAGGCATAGTAGACTATCGCCTCATGGGTGTTTTCGTGCGTTTTCGCATAGGCCTCTGGGTTGCCATACCACTTGCCGTCAACCCGAATCGGGAAGTCGGGAGAGGGGACCGTGCGGGAGGAGGAGAGAGACTGGACCAGCCTTTTTGGGACTGCCGTATTGGGCCTGGGGACTGTGGTAGTGGGAGCAGGAACCGGGGCCTGCGGGGGGCGAGAGGCGAGAGAGTTAACCGTGGAGGAGAGGTCCCGGAGGGAGGCCGAAAGAGTGGCGTCAGAAGAGGGTGTAGGCTGAGGGGCCTGGAGGGCATCAACCTTAGCGGAAAGGGAAGAAACAGACTCAGTGAGATGCCCCACCATAGTAACGAGGACCGACAAGAGGGGAACAACCGCTTCATCAGCGCTGTCGTATTCCTCAAAATCGGAAGAAACAACAGACGGGAACACTGCTGGGTTCCAGCCTAAGCCGTTGGCGGCTTGGGAAAGGAGAGCCTTAATAGCGTCCTCTTGAGAAAGGGGGGGAGCAGAGGCCCGGCCCGTAGGGTTGGCCCTGTTGCTGGCACGGCTGGAAGAGGTACGCTGGGGCCCCACGGAGGGAACCCTTAGTGCGGGGCTAGGAGCAGACATCGCGTAACGCAAAATGCGTTCGTGCCGAGAAAAAACCCGGTAGCACGGAGGGAGTAGCTCGGGGTGCAAAGGCTTTGAAGCCTAAGCGAGGTAGGGAGAAGGCTTTGTGTAACGTTCACGGCGGGGAAAATGCAGAGTTTTCACCGTCCCAAATAGGAAGTGTTTTCAATCGGGAGGTGAATAGAGGGCGCGGAGGATGGCGACCGCTGTAAAGTATGGTACCCGTTCTTGTACTCGAGTACAAGTACTATGTACCGTAGGACAATTTCACCCAAATTCGGGTTAGCCACAACCCGCCACTCTAAACTTTCTCTCGCGTTCGGGCCCCGCCAGATCTCTCCTCGTGATTCCAATCCGCGTAAATTGTGCTGCAGGCCTGGCCCTCCCGCCCCCCTCATGTCCCCAACATCAGACCTTTGAAAATTCGCGCCGCAAGATTCATCCGATACGCAAGGTGAATCCCGTGGGATGCGGCAAACCGGAACTGGATCTCTTCTCTCTATACACGCACAACCTACGGCTATGTCGTTATCAAGCGCGATAATCTTATCGTATTGTGCTTCGTTCGGCGGGTAGATCTGTTACCGTACCTGTACCCTGCGTAGGTTTCACCTTAGCTAATTCCCTAATAAACACCACGATGGGTAGGCCAATCTCGCAACCGCTCCTCCTAGACATGAGGCCAAAATGACTGCCAAAGTGCTCACCGGCGCTCATGGAAATCAACCCGGTCCCGGCTTAACACGTTTTCCCGTCTCAAAAGCCTCCTCCGAAACTGCGGCGGGCAATATCTTCCTCTAATCCCGCTAACATAATTATCACCTATGCCAATAAGCTGGAAAATCCTTCACCTGATCAGAAACTCGATAAACATACACCAAATTCCCACTACATGCAATGAGCCTATGGTATCCCAAACGTCTTTTCCTCACTGCTAGGGCAACGCCTTGCGGGAGCCCCAAGTCCCCCCGCTCGTCCCATTTCTTCCTCCAAAACTCGTCTTCCCATACCCGCCGGCAGGTGGGACTTTCCCTGAAGTATCAGGCTTTAAGCACCATTCCCCTATTAGTCCTCATAGGTTCGTTATTCACCAGTGTACTCGACAATCGCGGCTATCGGGCGTGGGTTGAACAAAATACCACGATATCGTCCCAGTGGCGGAGGAGAGCATATGCAGTTTACCGTGACCGGCACCCGCCCACCTGAGACAGGTGCTGGCATAGTTCATTTCTACAACCGAACCCTTACATTCTACGAAAACCGTGCGGTCGAATGGGTTTTCGGTGACCACCCGTCTGCAATCCACCCCGGCCCTATAAGTGGGAATACCGTGACCGAGGTACCGGTGTGGTATCCATCACGCTTTTTAATACGAGATCACAGAACCATCAAAAAGCTTCCAAGCCATGGGTCGTGCTCCCAAGTGTTCTGCAAGTTCTGTAAGATGGGACGGCTCTTGCGATATGCATTGATTGGATTAAACAGAACGCCAGTATATTCACCAAGATCCCCAGCACCTATGTGACCGCAATGAGTTATATGTCGCTCCCACCACGATCGCTTACAGGAGTAGAGAATGGGTGATTACAGGGTGCCGGTTTTTGAGCAAATCCGGTGTGTAAGTTCTTATTCTGACATAAGTAGCCTTCTCCAGCCACATGATTAAGATAAGAAAATTGAGGAATTTTTTTCGATGCGGAGTTGTTAGCATGAAGTGTGCTTACGGAACAATATGGCGGGTGGGATGCTAGGAGAAAACATGGGGGGAGTTCGAGGCTTATGATGATGCTTACGCGGGAAAAGAAAAGAGCTCGATAATCAATAGGAATTGTTAACGTGCAAGAAATTTATCTGCACTACACTTTAGGAATATATTGAGTGATATGAAACTTCCTCCCCTAGGCACTACCTTCAATGCTAGGAACCGGTAACGTTTTTTGTTTCTTTGTGTATTTCTGGCCTAGGATAGATGAGGGTAACTACCGATACCGATACCGCATCATGAGGGCGGGTATACCGTATTCACAAGTATCTGGGTAACTGTAGATATTTGAAGATATTTGCAAGAGCCTCAAGATATTTACAGGTGTCCGGGGGTAATCTTGGATATCTGTAGGCCTCCCTTGCCGCTTGCAAACGCTCCTCCAAAAATTTCCCTTTTCTAATCTTCCCTCCCACCCTCTTCTCCCCGTTCTCTCCTCTTCACTTTTGTCATGTTCTCTTGTTTTTCCTTTGATCCTCTCTTCTGTTGTCACCCCTACTTCTCGTGTCTTCTCAATACCTTTTTTCTTCTTTACACTGGCCTACATCTCCGGACTTCTGCCCTCACTTCCGTATGTTTTCCACAAGATAATAAGCTACCACACATTCACCAACAGGCAGATCCTGGGCCTTTCATTTTGTGAACTAGAGGAATAAGATTAGCTAATGCCTTCCTGGGGGGTGGGTAAAATCTATGTGACGATAATGGACTAATGAGAATCGGTCTTTCGCAATACACTAGATAGCGGCCCGTCTCTAACCTATCGTAGTATCCATTTCTCGCAGCAGCGTGGGCGAGTTCCTAACCTTCGTTAGGGTGCTGCGGTGGTCTGCCAGTCTCGTGGGAAAGAGGTGGGCAGGGTGTGATGCGTGGTCCGTTCGGTCCAAGGGAGGATATGGAATTCGGTCTTATCCTAAGTTGCCGGGAAGGCAGGTCTACTACAAGTGCTTTTAACACCTTAGAGTGTACGGCCGCACAGGGCCAAGGAGTAAAACCACCAGGGAAGCTGCTAACGAGTATGCCATGGGGGACTCATACGGAACTCGGATGGTATTGGCCTTTATGGCACCAGGTTGAGGGATAACAAACTAGGGACTTCTTATGATTACGAGTAGTAGAGGAGTGAATACAAAGAGCTTATCAGATGAGAAGGCACGCCATTTCAAATTGGGCGGGAATGGGCGTACCGTTAAACCGTTAAAGGAGGAAAGAAACAATAGGAGTCAAAATTGAAAAACAGAATAAAAATTTCCAACACTTCCTCTACCCTATGCTACAACAGATGGCCACTAAACCCCTAGTCGGTGAAGCTTGGTAGTTCCGGCCAGTCGGTCCGCAATCGACCCCCCGCAGATCCCTACGCCCCCCCACGCCCTAGTAGGAGACCAACAGCCCCCGCCTGTCACCTTTGGTCCAGCCAAACTACATGCGATACGATTAACTACTTTCCCTGATTATTGCCCGTGCGGCGGACCTTTCTCTTCCGCAGGTTCCGGACAACACGGCACAAATGTCGTGGAGTATCCTCGGAGGTTCCTCGCAGTTTCTGCCGCGTACAGCGCCTCGTCGTCGATAAATTGTCACACTCTCCTTGTAATCGCAGCAGCGTAGCCAGGTTTTTGGCACTCGATTGGGTTTTGGGATGGTTGGGTCCGAGGATCTTCTTGCGCCCCTCCAGTGCCCGCCGATACATCCTCTCGGATTCGTTGTACTTTCCTTGGTATTGCAGTGTGAGAGCCAGGTTGCTGACACTTGTTAGGGTGTCTGGGTGGTATGATCCAAGAATCTTCTCGTATCCCTCCAGTGCACGCCAATTCGTCGTCGCTGATTCAGTGTGCTTTCCCTGGTATCGGAGCACAGTAGCCAGGTTATTGACACTTGTTAGGGTATCTGGGTGGTCTGCTCCAAGAATCTTCTCGCGCCCCTCTAGTGCACGCCGATTCAAGGTCTCTGATTCATCGTACCTTCGCAGATGTCGTAGCGCCATAGCCAGGCACTGGACCACCTCCAAGAAGATGGGAGTGTCTGAGCCCAGCGAGCCCTCAATATCCTCTAACAAATTCCGAAATATCTTCTCGGCCACTTCTGGCTTTCCTTGATATGAGCTTGCCACCCCGAGAAGTATAGCCCTCCTATGACCTTCCTCATCCAAGTCATACTTAGTACTCTCCCCCGGAGTGTAATACATCGACGGAATTGAACTTCTGCGTCATTGTAGAAACCCATATCTAGAAAGCACTGTCCAAGGCGAAAACAAAGCTCCTCGGCAATGGGATCCGTCGAGTCTTTGGTCACTGCAAGTACATGTGGAATGTATGCGGAACCGCCATATCTCCACATGTTCCTATCCCTAGGGAACAGCCTCGAAAGCACTCCCAGCGCAGTGGTCCTCCATCGATTCAATTCTTCTTGTGGTAAATATACCTGTAAAGACAGTTGGACCAAACCGTGAAGCTCGTAAGAGGTCTTGTCCTCACATTTGGAAGTCGTAACTAGCGAAAATCCCAGTAGTTTACCAATGGCGCGACGAAACTCAATTGGGTCATCCATCCCTTCCAAACCAGAGCGACTCAATAGCTCTTCGGGTATATTCTGACGATCGAAGAAGGAAATCAGACGCAGGAGATCCGCCGCTAGGGGCATCTGCAGTGTAATCCGGTTAAAGGTGACAAAGTACGTGGTTAGGATGCTTTCGGTCATATCCGCCTCTCGTTGGATGTCACAGAATTGCTGTGAAAGCAGCCTCTTCGCATGCTCGTCGCTTCCCCGGAAAATAGTCCAGTAAGCGGAAGGTAGGGTCTGGGTTTCGATCATGAAGGCTACGGCACCTACGATTGCCAGTGGAATGTTATGAACGGAGTCCAGGATCATTGTGATCGCCTCTTTGTCTTTATTTCCCAACCTGTTGCTGCTACCAAAGCGCTTTGAAAACAATGCTTGGGCTTCATCCTCGTCCATTTTTCCGACCTCAATCCTTTCACAATCCTGCCATGACGCAACCCGGAGAGATCTGGTGGTGAATATTAGAGTCCCTCGAGGGCCCTGTGGTACAAATTTGGAAATCGGACCGCAGTTGCCGATAAAGTCCTCCTCGTTATCGGCGTTATCGATAACTAGGACCCAATCACCACTCTCCGGACCTTCAAACCACCTCTTTATACTCGCTAGGAATTGCTCTTGGTCCGTCTCAGCCGTGGGTAGAGGAATTCGAACATGTTGCGCAATAACTCGGAAACCGTCAATTAACTTTAATACTCCACTCCCCTGCACCCAGAAAACACCACAATCGCTCTCGCTTGCGCGCTGATAAACGTATTCGAGTGCAATCTGTGTTTTTCTAAGCAATGTTAGTGAACCCCCGGAATAAGAGCAATGAATACATACCCAGATCCACCTAATCCATGAAGCGCAATCCGGTGGTGGCCATCACCCTCGGAAAGCCTCTTTATCGACTCGATGAGATCTTTCCGGCCAGTGAATTTGGTGTTTCTGCGATAGGGAATTACCCGGTAAGGCCGAGGTGCTTCTTCTAGTTGTAACAAGAAGTTAGCCATTTGCAGGAAGTCACTCGGGGAAGCTGATGATACCATTGCCCCCGGGTCTCAGCACACACCCATGATATATCGGTCCGAAATTGGTAACGTTACTCGGGTTATTATTATTACTACCCAAAACATTATAGTTCCCCGAATTCCCGCTGAAGTCTCCGCCGATATGGGCCTGTGTTTTTCTGCGAAGATTATTCGGCTGCTGCTCATTGTCTTTGAAACCAGGGACGTTGAAGGGAAGGGGAGCCTACCGATACATCAACCACGCTAGTATTCAGCTCCCTGTAGGGTCGTTTTTGAAGGTTGGATAGGAAAGTAACAAGAGGTTGCCAGCGTCTCCAACCGAGGCTGGTAAAACCGCTTCGCTAGCCTTGAAACAAGTCAATAAGGCGTGGATGTGGTAGAACGGGTAGCCGAGGACCCAACCGCAGATATGGTTATGAACGATTCTATCCTTTTCAGCCAGCTGTGGTAGGCCGTAATCCTAGATCATTCTAGCGGAATTAAACGAAGCGGGAAGATTTGGTTGAAGAAACTGGGACTGAAATGCCTACGATCTCCGAGCGATGCCATCTCGGGGCGGCAGTGGAGTTTAAGTTCAGCCTTAGAAAAAAGCAACTCAGTCCGCGGAAAAGCACGAGATGCCATGGTGCCAGAAGCCAAACGGGGGGAGTGTGTAACCCCTCCACTTTCATTTTTCCAATTGGTTGAGGGCAGTCAACTACACTAATCGTGCCAAGGTGGTGAAGCTCGCAAGCTCGCAACCAAGGGCACTCCAAAGGAGTGCCCGCCATCTCTACGATAATTTCATACTCAACGATATTTTATTATTACATGCAATGCAAAATATTGCAACAAAACACCAATTTCATAAATTCAAGTTTCTAAAGCTCATGATTTTTATTCCCATCCTTTCCCATGATCCCAAGCTGTTTTTATATTTTGTTCCATAGCTTTTTGATTTCTTTTTTTTTTTTTTTGTCTTTTTTAGTGGGCTTTTTAGGATTTGTTCGTGCTACTTGTGGGGGAAGGCTTCATGGTGCCCATAGTCTAACCAACCGTACAAAGCCAGCTGAAAGGTCAAAAAAATCACGGAATAAATATAAAAGCATGTGGATATAGCAGGGGATG